GATGAGCCCGGAGGACGCAGTGGGCAAGAGAGGAGTTAGCATAGCGATAGGTTAGAGGCAGCCATAGCTGCCATAGCTGTAGTTAGTAGTGAGTGTGTGTGTGTGCTCGAGTGTTAGAGTGATATGTGTGGGATATCCAGGGTGATCCAGTGTATGTGAACAGTGAGATGTTTGGGCGCTGAAGTCGCCATAGCCAATTGAGAGTGAACTCGTATCTGGAAGCCATATCTCTGAGTTTTGAGTGGGCGCATGTCGCCAGTATGCTGCGTTGCTGTTTACATGCATGAAAAGTGTGTTTGAGAACGAGTCTGATTGCAGCCTCAACTATATATCCAAATTCTTTACCAAACTTGAAATAAAAATCAAATACTAAAAATAAATAATAATAATGAAAATTAGAAAAAATAAAACGAGAATTAAATTATTGAGTGGGCGAGCACGTTTTTGACACCGCCATCTTTGGCGATTTTTCATTTTTTTTTGGCTGTGACAAATGCTATGAAAATTTATATATGTGTATCTTTCATAATAGAGAATCTACGAATAAAGTTTGAAAAAATAATAAATTGCTGTATGCCCCGAAATAAAGGAAAAACAAAAAGTGAAAAGAGAGAAGAAACAAATTTGTGAGTGGGCAAGCAAGTTTTGACACCACCACCTTTGAGGATTTTTCATTTTTGTTTGGCTGAACAGAATGACTTCAAAATTAAGCTGGAGATACCTTACATGACAAGGAACTCACAAAAACAAATTCAGGTAAAAATAATAATATTTGGGTGCCAAAACTTTTTTTTGCGGGGTCTGAACCCCTTCAAGTTCGGGCCCCGTCAGTGGACCCGAACGCCCAAACGTTCCGGGTCAGCTTAGGGGCGTCCGTACGTACGGCCTGGCAACCCTGGTCGTGAATTAATTTGAATGAAAATATTTTTGAATTACAAAAATTCCTAAGAATTATTAGTCAGAATTATTTACAAAGTTCGTAGTTAAAAAATCAAAAGTGAGTTAATTAGAAATATTGTCGAAAAGGAAATGTCAAAAAATAACTTAATTAATTCTGAACTATTTTGGATTACCAAAATTTAGAAAAACAATTGATTACGAAATTTTCGAAAAAGAATTAATTAGAAATGATTTTTGAAAAGGAAATGTTGAAAAAACGTTTAATTAATTCTAAAATATTTTTGAATTACAAAATTTTAAAAAAGAATTAATTAAATTTGTTTCCGAAGTTCTAAGAAGAAATGCGGAGAAAGAAATGATTAATCCTATGTATTTTCAAAAATTTCGAAAAAGAAAATACGTTTGAGAAAGAAATGTCGAGAAAGATAGTTGATTGAGTATTTTCGAATTCACAAAAAAAAGAAATTCAAAATGGGTTCTAGAAATAAATGAAATGAATTTTGATGTAAATCGAGGGCGGAGCGATCTTACCTACTATTGATTGGGTGGTAGCGTGGTAGGTAGGGCACTGGTAGATTGATGATGATGATGGTGATGATGGTAGGGGGGGGGAACATCGGGGAAAAGTTGCGCGGCGGGGGGTGGAAATTGCACCCGGGGGGGATCTTGCGAAGGTGGGGGAAGCGGGATCGGGATTGGGTGGAGGGCGAGGTCCTGATTGGGGTTGGGGTGGGGCCGCATAGAGTCGGGGTCGCGCGCGGGGAATCGTGTGGGGAGTCGTGAGGGAGTCGGGGGAGACGGGGGAGCGGGGAGCGAGGAGGCAGGGAAGATCGTCGGGAGTTGGGGGGGTGGAAGGGTGACGGGGGTCGGGGGTCGGGTCGCGCGGAAGATAGCGCGGGTTGAAGTCGGGTGTCGGGGGGGAAAATGCGCCGGGGGAGGTAAAAGAAGAAGAGGAGAAGAGGAGGAAAAGGAATAGGGAGAAGATCGCGCGGCGGGGGAGGAACGGCGCGTGGGGGGGGAAGATCGAGAATCGGGGAGGGGAGGTTGTGCGAGAGCGGGATCGGAGTCGCGACGACGACGATGAAGAAGCAGAAGAAGAAGAAAAAGAAAAAAAATAATAATAAAAATAAAAATTGTCGTCGATTACTTATCTGCGCGGAGGTAGCAACGACGATGACGAGGATGGCACGGCGCGGCGACGAGGACGACGGGCACGGCGATGGCGACGACGATCGCGATGGTGATGATGATAATGAGGCACGACGACGACGATCGCAACGATGACGATCATGACGTGGCACGATGGCGACGATCACGACGATGATCACGACGATGATGCTGATGATGGCTAGGTGGTGACGACAAAGCAGGCTGGGTCGGGCGTGTTCGAACTGCTCCGATACCAGTGTAACGAGCACGAGGTTGAGGGAGAGCCGAGGGAGAGGAGAGAGAGAGGGAAAGAGTGAGAGCGCACACACATACTCACTCACTCGACGCGACTGAGGGTCGGACGCAGACACAGTGGCAAGGGCACAAAGTCGAAGTCTTGGATTCCGAGTGCCGAAACAACAAGGCACACTGAGTACAAGTACAATCGCTGAAAACTGGAATGAGACTGGTCCCCGAACTGTACGGGGAGCCGGTATAAGTACCGGTGACACATACGGTACCAGGGGTGTTTCCGCAAAAGCCCCGAGGGCAGAACTGAAAAATGCGGTATTTGAAAGTGGCGCCCGAATTGCAGCATGGCGCCAGTTGTCCAAAATCCGACGATACCAAAGGAGGGGTTGGGAAAAAAGGGTGCCAGGCCAAAAACCGGAAGCAGCAGAAACAGCAAAAAGATAGACCGGGGATCGAGCCCTGGCGGAGTCCGTAACACAGATGCTCTCTGGTCACACCAACACTGTATCCAAGGTCGTATCTACTGTCTGGCGCCCAGCGCCCTGCCTACTCTATTCAGCGTATCTACTCTATCTACGTTCTTGCGACTGGATCACATCGAAGTCGAAGACCAATGTATGTGACGTCAACACCAATGCCAACTACCAGCATACACCAGGTACGTTCTCTCTCCTCCACCTATCACACCTTGACCCCTTCTGCATGCGCCTCCTGCGTGGAGACCACCATCACCATCACCAGCACCTGCATGTTCGACCTGGCTATGGCTGCCATGCGCCTACTACCATGGTCCATGATATATTGGCCTCACACACGATGTGCCCAGGGCGCAATCGCCTGAGTCCTGGGCTCAACTGTACAGCGCAGCCCTTTGCTTCTGGAAAGGGCCTGGAGACTCAAGTTGATCTGTAACCAACTGCCGTGCTGCAACTGTCTGAGTACCCACATATGGAAAAATGTCGAAAACAGGCCTCACGTGGATATTCAGGCCTGCCTTCACTTAGGTCGGCCACGTGCTTGCTAGGGTCCGCAGCCTTGAACACTCGTATGTCTGATAAGGGCCCCACAAGGGCTCGTTCCTCGCATTCCATCCCCCTTAGCGTCAAAAGTCCGTTGAGATGCCTTCCCCTTCAGTCTTTGTTCGTAATCTGCCACAATCTGAGGGGCTGTCTTGACCAACGATCTTCTTCTGGATCTGTATGATGCCTGAACCTGACCCGATATTCCCTCATAGGTTTAGGCGGTTTCCCCCTGCCAACAGGCTTGGGAACAGGCAACTCTCTATATTCCAAGATGCCGCCGACGTCCACGTGGCCATCCATGGTTGGGGGCAGCATTGATCTCCTTGATGGGAATTGATCTGCCTCAGGGAAAGGTGCCAGCTTAGAATTGTGCAATACAGGGTAAGTGCGCAGATGACCAAGGATTCTAATGATGTACGAGGGACCATCCAAGTCACTACCCACAATATCTAAGACTTCCCAAGGACCGAAATACTGAGGCATTAGTTTCCTAAAGATTCCGAATTCCTGACCCTGTTGGCTAGCCCTTACCCAGACACGTTTCCCTACCTGAAATGTGGACTGTCGTCTGTGTTTGTTCTCAGAGGCAATCATAGCCTCCTGAGACTTTCTGACGTGCTTGACAGCCTGCTGCAACCACCAAACTCTTTGCAGTTGGTCGAGTTTCAGGAAGGGGGAAGTCTAGTGCAGATCAAGGCTTCCATCGAAATGCAGTTCATTTGGAAACACGCTCGTGGTGCTGTGAACAACATTATTGTACAGACTGGCGATGAGAGGCAATTCTCATCCCAATCGTCCTGGTTGGGCTTAATATAATGCCTCAGCAGGTGTTGCGCAACGCGGTTCATCTGTTCCGCTCAGAGGTCGCCAAACGAAATTTTCCTCCCACCCAAATCCAACCCAATCCAAGCCTTGATATATCATGCGCACCCGCACCCAGTGCCACCCACGTCATTTTTTTTTCTTCACTCAAACCCACCCCACCCGAGCAAATTAATTTTTTTTGTACCCGTGCCCAGTCCACCCAGCATCTGCAGTAGAATCCTTATCCCTACCCAGCCACACCAAGGCCTAAAGTTTCTCCACCCCGCATCCGCCCGCACCCACGACCAATTTTCATCTACCCATGCTTAGTCGTACATGTGCCCAAAGTTTACTACCCACCCCGATTTCAAACTTAGGTCTATGCATGTTAGAAATTCACTTTCCATGTTCAAACCACCGCTGTTACGGACTCCGCCAGGGCTCAATCCCTGGTCTATCTTTTTGCTGTTTCGGCTGCATCCCGTTTTCGGCCTGGCACCCTTTTCAAAACCCCTCCTTTGGTACCGTAGGATTTTGGACAACTGGCGCCATGCTGCAATTCGGGCGCCACTTTCAAATACTGCATTTTTCAGTTCTGCCCTCGGGGCCTT